GTAACCTTGTTTCAACGAATGTTGAATAAAATTTTCTTATATGTCCAGCCACTTCGTTGAAACAAGGGCAGACTGTAACATCAGAAAATATTGAAATTGTAGAAGAATTAGAAAATGCTCTCAATCAAATAATAAATTGGTAATTTGAAATTATTTATAAATATCAGAAAATGTTTACTCCACGACATGAAGCACAAGTGTTTAGACTGACAGACCTTTGATGACATTTGCAAGTTGCTGGCATTTTATTTATTTATTGTTACTATTATAATATTGTTATATAATAATAATAATAATTATTAAAATCATTTCTTGTTTTTATTAAAAAAAATCTTGACATTATTACCTTTTAAGAATTAATAAATATTTTTTTTGTATATGTTTTATAATATACAGTAAAAGCCTTAAATTGAAAAAATTTGGTACATATTGAAATCCTTCAAAATCAATGATCTTCTTTGATCTTTTTGCCCAAGCCTTTTAACTAACGAAGAGTATATTCGAACAAAACATCATCGTTCTACAAGTGATTTTTAATCACTTGTGTTATAACTAGTTTTTTCTATTTTAAATCAATTGAAAATACCATGTGGTGTGGTACAGCATAAAAAAGATCATCATTCAATTTTATCACTATGTGATAAACAAATGTCCATTATGCTGTTTTAAGGATGGTGGTGCTTATCGCCCACCACTTGTCATTACTCTAGTTATTAAAAAAAAATGGTGCTGGTTGTTGTGATCATTTCATTGAAATCTTACCCTTTTTCTTTTTAATTAGAAATTCATCACAAGAAAATATTGTAAACAAATTATACTTTTTTTTCAAATGGATAGATCAATCATTTTATTTTTGAATTTTAATATATGTTTTGTAATGTCATAATAGATCGAGCCCTCGAAACTTTTTAATATAGATGCTTTAGCTTCAGACATCAGAAGATCCTATTTGGTCATGCCACCCCAACCTTTAGAACCAATTGAAGTACTCAAAATTTTAAAAGAAGTATGTCCAGATGAGCATCCTCGAATAGAAGATGATATTATAGATGAAGGGACAGTAAGTTTCAACAAATTTTCCTATTTATTAATTTTATGCTTTCCTTTTAACTTATGCATTTAATTTTCTTAAAGATGAATAATCCACTATGACTTGATTCACCACAACTTGATCCACCACAACTTGATCCAGGGTTGGCAAATTGACTGGTCCATTGAGAACAGATGGATTTTGGACTGGTCCATTGCCATTAGTAAAATACTAAATATGGTTAAAGTGTTACACTAATGGACCCAATAGACCACCAATGGACCATCAATGGACCACACATTTGCCAACCCTGACTTGATCCACCACAACTTGATCCACCACAACTTGATTCATTATCAGGTATGTAATCCTTATCTTTTTGAAAACCTACATATATTTCTTCTATTATTAATAATAAATTGGTTATGATAAAGGAAAAGGAAGAAAACATCACTGTAAAATTTATCGTGAAAATATCAAAGGGATCACCAAGTCTGTGATTCATAGACTTGCTAGATGTGGTGTCACTCGTATTTCTAGGTTAATATACAAAGAAACCAGGGGGGTTTTGAAAAATTTTCTCAAAAACCTTATTAGAGATGCAGTAACATACACTGAACATGCCAAATGAAAAACAATAACATCGCTTGATATTGGTTAGTTATCATCAAATATTATATTTAATTTATTAATATTTATATTGCAGTCTATGCATGTAAAAAACAAGGAAGAACTTTATATGGATTTGGTGGATAAAATTATTGTGATGTTTTTCATATAAGATCATAATGTTATTAAATTAGCTTGTTTCATCAGAATTTGATTATAAAATAACCATTCTTGTTGACTAATTGCAATTTTCTCTGTGATATGTAGTATGTCTCAATTAGGCATTTAGCCATAGAAATTAATACGGACCAAAAAATTTTTATACATAATACAATAAATTAGCCTGACCTTTATTATCACCCGATCTGTACCATTACTTACATGATGAAACCCCCCCTATTTTGAGTACTTCAATACATAATTTATTCAATTGAACTGAAAATAAATAAATATCAATCAATAGTTCTTTCAAAATTTTTTATATCCTTGAAGCCAAACATCATTATAAAATTTTGATCACAATTGAAGATAGTTGTCATAAATGGGCCACACTAACAAATATAGTCAGTGAATTTCCTTATTTCTTTTAACAATAGTAGTTGTAAAATAAAGGGTACTTATTTCTACTAAGTTTTCATATCAACTCCAAGTATTATCTGCTGTTAATGGTGCTTTGACCTGTCACTCTTTGGAATTTATTCAAATATAAGTTAGGATCAATATTTCCTTGTAAATTAAAGTTATGTGATTAGAATTCATGGGTTTGATTATTAGATGAAATTTTACAATTAGCTCATTTCTACAAATATTTTTATTTGTCATATACTACATTTAATTTGTGATCTGGGGCAAATTCAGCAAATTGAAATACTTCCCTTCTAGATATCATGACCAAAATATCCACATATAAAAAAACAATGTGATTTTTAGGTACATTAGGACTTGAAAATTCATTTATTGTAATTTGTTAACAATTTATCATCTTCTATATTGCTAGGCATATGTTCTAATTCACAAACATATCCTGGCAGTTGGTTTTTTGTAGAAATAATACAAAGTAAAAAATTGTCATCCCTAAACAAATAAGGTAAAATTCTGAACCATTTTCAGTAGAAGTTTCATGCCACCAGTGATAAGCAAAAGGTTTGTAGTGTAAATTAAAGTCCATTTATTCCTCGAGATGCAAGTGTTGGTGAATAGAAATTTTATACATATACAAAAAAAATTTTTTAATATATGAATGCAGATAGCTATAAAGTTTAAAAAAAATTTATATATGGACATGTCTGGATTCACAAAATTCTATCACGTATCACAAATTAAAGATTCTTTTTTTTATGATTTAACTGTAATATGTGAATTGCCATTCACAAATTTTTTATCTTAAAAATGAATCCAATATTTGAAAAGTATTTTAATGAAAATGAAAGATTGTTAAATACTGAAAATTTTTATGATGTAAAAATATATGTTGGTGCAAAACCAAA